AGTCTATCTAGATTGTCACAAGTGCTCTGAATTGCACCCTGAAACAAAGGGATCCAATACACACCCTCTTGTGTTACCAATAGATGCTGATGTGAAATTTTGCTAACCCTAAGCATTGAAAAATCATGAGTCAGACCCTCAGAAATCCTGAGATGGGATTTAAAATTAATGTGACGTAAACATGATACATATAGGGTTCTTTTTCTTTGCCTTCTCCTTCCTGAGCCTTTAGTTTACACTCAGATCATGTGCTTCCAGGCTTTTCTCCACTACCATGAGGGCTATAAACATTACGGGGTTGGTTTTTTTTTTCAAATGCAAACTTAGATTCCCCTGTAATCACCTGACTCCAGCCACTGGAGCTTTAAGAAAAACATCAAATGTCACAAGACTCATAATAAAATCACAAGTGTTGTCAGTATTGGTGGCTTGCTTGTGGATGCCAACAGGAGTCTTCTTTGTATGATGTGGGGAAAATAGCTACAGTGCTATTCCCAGTTTATGGGAACAGCCTTGTACTGTACCAGGCATGGTACTGATGAAAATTCCCACTCCGCACAATTTTGCAAGTTTTAGACACGTTTCTTTCTCCCCTCCCAACAGTTGTTCCCGTGAACGTCAGCTGCACGCGAACAGATTTCCAGATCCAGATTCCTGTGCAGTCTCTTGCCCAGCTGGAGAGAAATAAGATTTATTTAGGGACCCCATCCTGTCCTGCCCAAGTGGTTGGCCTGAATTTTAAAATACACACAAGGTTCGACACCTGTGGGACTGAGTCCCAGGTAAGTAATCAGTATACTAGATCTTGAATCCTAGCTCTGTAAAACAAGTACAGTAAGATGATAAAAAAGCCTGCATCTAGTGATGCGCATGCACACACACATAATAGGGTACGTCTAGACTACATGCCTCTGTCGCCAGAGGCATGTAGATTAGGCTACCAGACATAGGAGAATGAAGTGGCGATTTAAATAATCGCCGCTTCATTTAAATTTACATGGCTGCCGCGCTGAGCCGACAAACAGCTGATCAGCTGTTTGTCGGCTCAGCGCGGCAGCCATGTAAATTTAAATGAAGCATCCTGGGATGAGGTATACCTGGGTGGTCGACAAATACCTTTGATGTCGACACCTGCGCGTCCAGACTATCCCTCTGAGCCGACAAACAGCTAATCAGCTGTTTGTCGGCTCAGCACGGCAGCCATGTAAATTTAAATGAAGCAGCGATTATTTAAATCGCCACTTCATTTTCCTATGTCTGGTAGCCTAATCTACATGCCTCTGGCGACAGAGGCATGTAGTCTAGACGTACCCTATATAGTAAGAGACGCTGCATCTCCAAAAGATCTTACAATCCACATTTGCAAGACTTAGAGTATGCCTACACTGGAGGGAGGGGGCCAGGGGAGAACCTGTGGCAGGCAAGTTTTAGAGCCTGGATCAGCTGACTTAGGCTCACCAGGCCCACATTTATGGTGCTAAAAATAGCAGTGTAGAATTTGGACTTGGACAAGGCATCACTTGCAGAGTCTCAGAGCCCCAGCACCAGCCTTGAGCATCTACACGGCAGTTGTATAGCCCCGCAGCTTGAGCCTGGGAGCAAAACAGTATTAGCTCCCATCTGAATAATGGGGATAGCGAAGCACAGAGAGATGAAGTGATTTGCTCCAGGGCAGAACTCGGTGCCATTGAATTAGGATATGTTCGTTGGGTCACCGTAACCTACCCCCCACATGAACACAGGCCTGAGGCTGAGGGCACTGTGCACCCACCTTTTACTTACTCAGATAAATGAGGCACACATTTTTGGTAGCTTTGAATATGAATTTCTCCTTGCCTGCTATGAGCAAGCCCCTCCATTGCTGCATCCAAAGAACACCATGCACTGGACACAGCTCTAATCTCACAACGTTATGCCCCTGGTACCCTAGCCCCAGTTCACCAAAGGGCGAAACTGAGGCCCAGAGAGGCCCATCTCTTTGGGTTGGTCACTGATTCTGGGTGCCTTACTTTTTGGATATCCCACATGAGGGAAGCTCTTTGGGTCTTATGTTCAGAGGTGCTGAAGCCCTGAAGCTCCCATTGGGTGCCTTACTTTTTGGATATCCCACATGAGGGAAGCTTTTTGGGTCTTATGTTCAGAGATGCTGAAGCACAGTAGCTCCCATCGACTGCAGCTGGAGTTTGGGATGCTCAGGACTTAGGTGCTGGCCAGCTATAAAACCGCGGAACCCAAAAATCAGTGGCCATTATGAAAAACTTGGCACAAGTGACTTGCCTAGACCTGCACAGCATGGCAGTGGCACAGCCAGAAACAGAACCTGCAAGTCCCAATTCCCAGACCTTTACAATGAGCATTGGCCTGACAGTGCTAGAGTTGCTTAGGGTACGTCTACACAGCAGGGCAAAACTCAAATTAAGACATGCAACTTCAGCTACGTCAATTGTAGAGCTGAAGTCGAAATAGCTTCATTCGGCTTTTGGCACTGCCTACCCAGCAGCAAGTCGAACGAAGAACACTCTTCCTTCGACTTCCCTTACCCCTCGTAAAATGCAGGCTACAGGAGTTGGAGGAACACTCTTCCTTCGAATTCCCTTACCCCTCGTAAAATGCAGGTTACAGGAGTTGGAGTAAGAAGTCCTCCAGCTCGACATTATTTTGAAATAACGGCTTACTGTGTAGACGGGCATTTTGTTATTGTGAAATAATGTTAGTTATTGCGAAATAACGCTGCTGTTAGACGTGTCCTTAGTGCTTAAGAACATAAGAACGGTCATACTGGGTCAGACCAAAGGCCCATCTAGCCCGGTATCTTGTCTGCCAACAGTGGCCAATGCCAGGTGCCCCAGAGGGAAATAACAGAACAGAAAATCATCTACTAGATCCATCCCCTGTCGCCCATTCCCAGCTTCTGGCACATAGAGGCTAAGGACGCCATCCCTACCCACCCTGGCTAATAGCCATTGACGGACCTATCTGCCCTCAGCTTATCTAAATCTTTTTTGAACCCTGTTATAGACTTGGCCTTCACAACATCCTCTGGCAAGGAGTTCCATGGATAAGTGCACATTTGTTTCAAACCTGCTGCGTATTAATTTCATGTGCAGCTCTCATTAAAACCCTTGTGAAAATAAGGCTCCCTATTTCTAGGGAATTTGATCAGCTTGATTTCTGCTTCTTGGCCTAGCCTCGTATACTGGTTTATTATTCTTAATGCACATTTACAAGTTGCTGGTAGTGAAATGCCATGAATACACAGTAACTATCCATTCTGTTAAGAGCCTAACTCTGGCCAGGCCCTGGAACTTGTTGCCCTGCAGGTTTTGTTTTTATTCATTCATAACTCTAACAAGTAAAAACAAACCCTTGCCCTTGTCTTGCAGAAAAGAAACCACACGTCTGTGATAGTCAGTATCCTGTATATCGACTTTTCGGCTGGAAACCAGGAGGACATTCATGAGTATGAAGTGCAGTGTGAGCCGAAGAGGAAAGAAGCCTCAGTAAACCTCATCTCGAGTGCTGACCCCTACCGGCTAAACCAGTACGCGGAGAACCTGGTGGAGTCCCAAGGGCAGGACGTGGAAGCAGTGGAGACCTCGGAAAGCAAAAGCCAGGACACCAGTGACATTGTCTTCATTAGCATCTGTATTCTTGCAGGCATCCTCATGGTGATCGCTGTGGTTGGACTAGTGCTGCTATAGGATGCTGCCTTTGGCCCAACTCCTCCTTGCCTGCCCTCCCTCCCCATCATAGGCACACATGCGCAGCCAGTGGCTTTTCCTCCTAGAGCCTGGGCTTAGAGTTTCAATAGAGCTGTTGGAATCAAAACTCACCTTCCATGCTTGAAACAGAGGTTGGTTTCAACCTCTATATTCTTTCTCTACACAGAAGAAGTCTGTGCAGTAGGCAAGCAGCTCTTCTTCTGAGCCATAGAATCATAGAATGCTAGAACTGGAAGGGACCTCGAGAGGCCCTGTCTTGATCATCCTGGATAGGTGTCTGTCAAACCTGCTCTTAAATATCTCCTGTGATGGAGATTCCACAATCTCCCTATTCCAGTGTTTAACCACCCGGAGAGTTAGGAAGTTTTTCCTAATGTCCCACCTAAACTTCCCTTGCTGCAGTTTAAGCCCATTACTTCTTGTCCTATCCTCAGAGGCAAAGAAGAACAATTTCTCCCCCTCCTTCATGTGACACCCTTTTAGATACCTGAAAACCACTATCATGTCCCCTCTCAGTCTTCTCTTTTCCAAACTAAACAAGCCCAATTCCTTCAGCCTTCCCTCACAGCTCATGTTCTCTAGACATTTAATCATTTTTGTTGCTCTTCTCTGGACCTTCTCCAATTTCTCCACATCTTTCTTGAAATGTGGTGCCCAGAACAGGACACAATACTCCAATTGAGGCCTAATCAGTGCAGAGTAGAGTGGAAGAATGACTTCTCATGTCTTGCTCACAACAAGCTTTTTTTTTTCTTTATTTAAATCTTTCTATTGGGTTTTGAAATCTGATTCTTGAGTTTCATGAGTCTATCTATAACTTGAGTTCCCAGTGGTGGGGCTACAGCAAGGGGAGCAGTATTGTTTGCCTCTGGATAGAAATATCACTATTTTAGCTGAATTATGAAATACAATATACTGGTTAGAGCCCACACCTATCTATCCACTATATATTTGAGAGAATTTGTCTGTCTGTCCATCCGTCTATGAGTCTGTTTGTTCAAGAACTTCTCCTAAATGGCAAGAGTTAGGACCACCAAATTTGGTCTGCAGCTTCCTCTTATCATAACTTACAGCAAAGTCAGGGTTTGGTTGTGCCAGGACAATGGGATGTGCCTGGAACGTAAGGCTGTGTCTAGACTGGCAAGTTTTTCTGCAAAATCATGTGATTTTGCGGAAAAACTTGCCAGCTGTCTACACTGGCTGCTTGAATTTCCGCAAGAACACTGACGATCTCATGGAAGATCATCAGTGTTCTTGCGGAAATACTGTTCTGCTCCCGTTCAGGCAAAAGCCCTCTTACACAAATCATTTGCGCAAGAAGGCCAGTGTAGACAGCTCAGATTTGTTTTGCGCAAAAAAGCCCCGATGGCTAAAATGGCGATCGGGGTTTTTTGCGCAAAAGCGCGTCTAGATTGGCACGGACGCTTTTCCGCAAAAAGTGCTTTTGTGGAAAAGCGTCTGTGCCAATCTAGATGCATGGATGCTTTTCCACAAAAAGTGCTTTTGCAGAAAAGCGTCCTGCCAATCTAGATGCGCTTTTCCGAAAATGCTTTTAACGGAAAACTTTTCCGTTAAAAGCATTTCCGAAAAATCATGCCAGTCTAGACACAGCCTAATTGTTTCTTATCAAATGGAAAGGGAGGGGTGTGATAGCAGGGACAGTTATACTCACAAATGACTACTGGGGGGCAGCAAGCACCCTAGTCACAAGGAGCAGCCTCTGGCCAGCTAGGGCAGCCCCCGCTGCCCTGACCACCCCAGGGGAGCAACTGATGGCTGGCCAGCATGGCCCCCCACTGACTCAAGCCGGCTCTGGTGAGAAGTCAACAGCTGTCCGCACCTCTGCCCTGAGTCCCTTTAAACCTCCTTCCCTGATTCCCACACTGCCACACTCTCTCCTGAGCTCCGCATTCCCTGCTGACTCCTGCATCCCCACCCTCTGCCCTGAGTCCCTCCTCACCCCAACCCTGACTCCTGCACACCACACCCCCCAGCCTCCTGCTCTGATCCCCCCCACGTCCCCAAGCCCCTGCCCTGACTCCTGTCCCCCCTCATCCCCCAGTCTCCAACCCTGAAGGACCCGAGCAATGTCATGTAAATCTTTCAATCTCTCTGTACACACACACAGCCGAGTTGGATGAGGTAATACCTGTTACAGGTAGGTGAGAGAGACAACATTTCAAAGCACACAGAGCTCTTCTTCAGGTCTAAACTGCGCGCGCACGCATACACGCACGCGCACACACACAGGAATAGCCTCATGATAAATTGCATTTATCCTACCTCTGTTCTCCCTCCCATCCTTGTCTCCCAGGACTTTTCTAACATTCCAACCCTTTGAGCAGCTTTATCTGCCAGGCAAAAAAAAAGACAGAGCTTTTCTTTTCTCCAAATGTGCTATTTTCCTCAGCCAGCCCCCAGTTAAGCAGGCTTTAGCCCTGTGCTGGAGACAGGTTTGTAGTCCAATATCTCTAAAACTAGAGCAATGTACTGTTACAGGGCATAGGGGCCAGCGAGCAAAGAGGCTCAATATTCCTTCCAATCAACTCCTCTCTCAGACCTGACAAACTCACTACACCCAAAACCACTTTCATGGTCTTTATCTATGAAGGACAGCATCTGTGGTGTCTACTGAAAGCTTTTATGCTACTGATAATCATTGTGGGATTTGTGTGGGGGTAATATTGAAGGAACAATGTCTCTATATTGAAATCTATGCCTAACTGTCCTGGAGTAAAAATTAATCACCAGGGAATCCGACCTCTCAGTATTGAACTGTTCAAGCAGGAGAGAGGTGTCACCCCCGGCCAGTTAGGGATGTAATGCCAGGTTCAATTGTCTACCTTTGCTCCGTACCAGAACAGCCAATGGAAAGCCATCAAAGATCACAGCAAGCAATCAAAGCCCCATGGCAGTAGAAAGGAACACGAGCGCAAACAGTGTGAACAGAGACAAAACACTGATTCAGTCTCTCACAGGCTGGAGATGGACGCTCTGCAGCCATTCACTGAGGAGGCAGCATGTTGAGTGCAGGTGGTTCATGAAAGACTCAGTCCTGATTCCTGGGGAGTCATGTAGCTCTGCAACAGATGAACATGGTAGCAGGGGGAGGGAGGGAGAATGCTAGATTATTAGATAGGAAAGATAACAGTAAGTAGAGGTTCTGGTTTGAGATTTATTATTTGTTTTAGATTTTAATGAGTTGTTTCCATCACTCTCACTTCTAGTCTTCTTTATACCATGTGACAGGGCGTTTGCCCTACACTGGCCCTTTAAGGGCAAAGCCCCAGCCCTGAGTGAGAGCTGAGAGCGAAGCCCCAGCTGAGGCAGTTCTGGCTAATGAGGGCCCAGGTGGGGGCTATATAAAGCAGGACCCCTGGAATAGTAGGGGCAGAACTGACTGCTGCTCTGGAGAGAGAGCAGTAGGGACCTGACTGCCAGGGAAGCAGGAGGCTTCCTGGAGGCAGGGCAGGGCAGGGCAAGGCAGGGCAGGGCAGGGGAAGGAAGGCAGAGTTGGGGAAGCTCTGGCCAAGCGAGCTCCCAGGCTGCAGGGCCTAGAGCAGCCAGGGTAGGCAAAGGCAGCAGGTCCACACCCCTTTGCCAATGATGGGTGGCCATGTCAGATTGCAGTTTGCCCCTGGGGAAGGGGCTAGATGAAGCCTGGCAGTGGGTCACTGAGGCTAGGTGGGTACTGGGGAACTGGGTGTTCACAGGGCACCCTGTTCTCCTCCCAGGGAAGGGAAGGACCCTGGAGTGCAAGCAGGAAAAACACCAAACCCCGGAAGGGGGCTCAGACACTGGATGGCACTGCCGGAGAGCAGTGTCCTGAAGAGGATTCTGAGGTCCATGAATGACAAGTGTCAGGACTAGAAAGGGCAGTGAGGAGATGGGGAGGCGCTAGAGGGGGGCATCCAGCAAGTTAACAAGATAATTCCCAGGGCAACCAGCTGGAGGCACCATGGTGGTGAATCTGCCCTGTGCCATATCACCTGCATATTTTTAACTTCAAATACAGGAATGATACCTATGGCCACTGTTGAAGGGCAGGATACTGACTTAGATGGATGTTTGGTCTGATGTAGTCTGTCCATTCTTAGATTCTTATACATGCATACAAATGGGATAATCACATTCAGTAGATTATAACTTTTCCAATGATAACTTACATGATGTATTTCACATAAAGCATATTCATAGAATCATAGAATGCTAGAAGTGGAAGGGACCTCAAGAGATCAAATCCAATCCCCTGCCCTCATGGCAGGATCAAGCAACATCTAGATCATCTTGATAGATGTCTATCTAACCTGCTCTTAAATATCTCCAGTCCTCCCTGGGCAATTTATTCCAGTGTTTAGCCACCCTGAGAGTTAAGTTTTTTCCTAATGTCCAACCTAAACCTCCCTTGCTGCAGTTTAAGCCCATTGCTTCTTGTTCTATCCTCAGAGGCCAAGGAGAACAATTCTAGTTAAGTCATAGTCATAAGCCCATTTTCATAAAGTTTATGGAATGCCTCTTGACAAATGGCACAACATGTAGCTCAATCCTCCCATTGCTGGGTTCATCAGGGCTATGTCTAAACTGGCAAGATTTTGCGCAAATACTTTTAATGGAAGAGTTTTTCCGTTAAAAGTATTTGCGCAAGAGAGCGTCTACACTGGCATGTGCTTTTGCACAAAAGCATCCGTGCCAATGTAGATGCTCTCTTGTGCAAGAAAGCTCCAATGGCCATTTTAGCCATAGGGCTTTCTTGCGCAAGAAATTAACGTTGCCTGTCTGTACTTGCACAAGAGGGTTTATCCCTGAGCAAGAGCATCAGAGTATTTGCACACGAAGCACTGATTTTGTACATTACAACATCAGTGTTCTTGCGCAAATACTTGCGGCCAGTGTAGACAGGCTTTTGCACAAAATCTTGCCAATGTAGACACAGCCCAGGAGTATTATTAATAAGATTGTGACTCAGGCCTGGTCTACACTTACAAATTAGATCAACCTAGTTACATTGCTCACAGCTATGAAAAATTCTGGGCTCTGCCATAGATAGGTTGACCTAAGCCCTGATGCTGATGCAGCTAGGTCAACAGACGGATTCTTCCATCACCTAGCTACAGCCTCTGGGAGAGATGGATGATCAACAATAATGGAAAACCCCTTCTATTGGTATAGGAAAAATCTATGCGATGGTGCTACAGCAGCACAGCTGAAAAGTAGAGAGACCCTCAGACAGTCACATGTGTATTAAATAAAATGCTTTTCTGACCCTTTCCTTGTTTCTTAAATGGGGCATCAACTTTCAGCCATCCTAGGTAGGGTTGGGAGCTCAGAAACTAAGCAACATTAAGC